TCAAGAACATCTTTGAGCACACGTGATGTCACCTTTTCATCGAGAATTTAGCCACGTGTGCCAATGCCACGTCAATTTCTGCAATTGCACAATTTCTGGTTATTTGAAGGCGAGGGTACTTTTTCTCTGCATTGCCCTATTTTAACGACTACGGCTGCCTTCAGGGGCAGTTTTGTACAAAAATGGGAGCAGATTCGAAATCCTCGAGCTTTTTTCTTTCCAAAAGTGTAAAATTGTTTAGCGTATCTCAACTTTAACGATTACATGCTTCATGAATTTGACGCTGAAGCTGCGTTTCTTGTTGAATAGTGTACTCCTCCCTGTAATTTCACATGAACCCTTTCAGAATCCTCTTGATTTTTCCTGAATTGAGATTCTTTCTCCAGAGAGCCGTAGTTGAAGCGCGCGCAACCAACTGGGCCCACTCTGGGATGCGCCGTGTGCTTCACATCCCTTCAGATTCGAGGACTCACTTGAAAGATAAAATATCCCTTGGAAAACGTGCGAATTTCGGATTCTTTAACTTGTGTGGTGATAAAACACTGAAGTAACTAAGAATTACTACGCGGACACCTCTGAATCACGAAAATTTTGTGTGGGCGGAATATCATTGTTATTGGAAATCCTCTGGCCTGGCATCGATTCGATCCTTGATGTTTGTCCTCCGACGATGATCCTACTGTATCAATCGGGCCCGATCTCTTCCCCAGCGGGCCAATACGACCCCCCCCCCCTGTGACATGTCGAGGATTCCTCAACGCACGCTTGACCCTGTCTAGACTATCCTTCAAGACATGGAAAATGAAGACATGGTTGCCGATGTCGAGAACCTGAGAAAATGTGCAAATGTCAACGAGGGGGTCGTATTTGGCTAAAGGAGACGGTAAGCTTGAACACTACAGGGGGGGGGGGCAAAAAAAGTCACTCTCACTCACATTCAAAACAGAATTAATTACACTTTGCCGGAACCAAACCGAATGAGCTCAATTGCATATTGAAGAGCACATTCTATTCTATCAAAAAATTACATAATATTATATAAAGTTAATATACAAATACGAACGACGATATGGAGTCTCATTCGAGTCGGTAGAATGTATTGATTCCAAGCCGAAAAAGGTGCCGAAACTATTGCGAATAACTGGTGGAGGATCTGTAAAATGGCTGCTTCAGAATAGGTAAACCAAAAATAGGTCCAATCAAAGGAAGCTACTATTGATGGACGAGTATTGAGGTCCTTGAGGAGACGAACAAAGCCAAGAGCCAGAGAACCTCGCGAGAGCCAGAGAACTTGTCATCTTGGGAGGCTTATTACGTGCCAACAGTCTCCATTTGCAGCTGTGACTCAAAAAGTCGTCTCCCTAACGGCGGCTGGTAATTGAAAAAACATATTCTGAACGCATCGTAAGAACGT